GGTTATTTACTAATAGTTTATTATAATTTCGACAAAATTTAGACAGTCACTAAGAGATTTCGGCAAGCAACCTTAGCCGTGAACACAGTCACTATTGCCATTTTGAAATACTTTCATACGCAAAAGCTCAAAACGGTAACAATATAATTAAAAATATATATTAAATATATATAAATAAAATAATTTAAATTAATATTTTTATAATATTAATATTATAATATTAATCTAAAAAAATCAAAAATACAAAAATTTTAAAGTTAATTATATAACTAGAAAGCTTTTACTATTTTTTTATATATTGCTAAAAAATAAATTTCAGCTAAAAAAAACATGAATAAAAATTAATTAAAATTTTAAAATAACTTTTATTCATATTTTTTAGCTAAAATTTATTTTTTAATTATATAAAAAAATAACAAAGGCTTTTTAGTTATATAATTAACTTTAAAATTTTTGTATTTTTAACTTTTTTAGATTGATATTATAAGAAAAATATTAAATTAAATTATTTTATTTACATTTACATTTAGAATATTTTAAAAAATTATTTTAATTATAAAAAAATAATTATTTTTATTTATATTTGATATATATTCTAAATATAATAAATAAAATTAGCTAATTTCTGGTATTTTTATAATTAAATTTTTAATATAATAAAGTTGAATTCAAAAATAATATATTAAATTTTTTAATAATGAATTTATTAATAAATTTTCAATATAGTAAATTTTTAAATATTTCTATTATAATAAAATTTAATATTAATTTATAACTTTTAATATAATATTGCATTTTTATTTAGCAAAAAAATAAAAAATTTAAAGTTATTATTTGAATTATTTAAACTTAAATTACAATTTAATAATTTTTTAAAAAATATTTATTTATAAAAGTTTAAACTTTATTAATTATTATGATTATATCTAATTTAATCACTTAATTTTGATCAATATTAAAAATAATATATTAAATTTTGATCAGTATTAAAATTTTAATATTAATAATTCAAATTAATAAAACTTTTTAATGATATTTATATTTTTTTATTGTATATTTTGCAAGTTTTTAATTTAATAAATTTTGTCATATAATTACAATATTTTTTCATATACTTTTTGTTGTATTTTAATACAGTTTGATTTTTAATAATAAAAATAATACATAATAAAATTTATTTGAGAATTAATTTTGAATTAAAAATCAATTTTCAAATTAAAAATTAATTAATTAAATTTATTAAAATTATTAATTAAAATTATTAATTAAAATTATTAATTAAAATTATTAATTAAAATTATTAATCAATTTAGAATTGATTTTGAATTAAAAATCAATTTTTATTTCTAATTATAATATCATTTTGGTGATAATATAAATCAAGATTAAGTTTATTCAAAAATTTGTGACTAATGCATTTTTGCAATAAACTGAATAATAATCAGATATTACAACTTGGCTATATGGTGCAACAGTTATAAAATTAGATATCTTGCACTATAATATGGAAGAGCTGAAATTTAAGAATTTCTGCAAATAAAACTAAGCAATTAGCTGAATTTCTAAAATTATAAGTTAAAAATAGACTTTTTTCAAATAGAAAAAATTGTAAAATTAACATAAATTTTATTTTTATCTTTTATTTGACTTTGTTAAAATACAAATTTTAATACAAAAACAAAAAATATTTATTATGTCTTACTAACAAATTCAAAAATATATTATTTAATTTGAATTCAAATATTTTGTTTGTTCAGATATTATAAAGTATCCCTTCCTCTTTAAACCTTAATTTAGCCTCAAGATTATTAATTTAATACAAAATTGAAGAAATTGTACGATGAATCTTGATTTATTCATTTTGCAAAAGCTTAAATGGTAATCGAACTAAAGATTTAAATTTGGAAATTTTAGGCAGCGCTGTAAGATACTCTTGACCAATGTATTATTAATAAATAAACTGTTGAATTAATTGAATGTTCATTATTATGCCTTTTTAAAAATACTTTTTTTTTATTTTATCTAAATAATCCAAAATGACTAATACAACAAAATGAAATCCAATTCAAAAGATATAATCTATATATATTAAAATCCAAAATAAAAATTTTCAAGCAGGTCTATCTAATTAAAAACAAATAATACGAGTACATAAAATTTGGATGAATATCACCATAATTTACATTTATCATCGGGATTCATAAATGAACCTTTTTTACACTTGAATGTTTCCGAGAAATGGTTAGAATTTTTCAGGGCACCAATGACGCGCCATTTTGGAGGCGAATGAGGATCTGTACGTACCTATTGATTGGACCATCGAATAATCATTAATTCATTACATTAAATAACGTTTATCATTTCCAATCGAAAGAAAATTTCAAATAAATACCCTTTCAACAGCAGTCTCAGGTCGAACCTTTGAACACCAAACACGCGCAAAAGATATATAGAATAATTGTTCGCGCGTGAGATTCTCGAGTCCAGGAAGTAAATAATTTTTGTGTATTTTTTGGTCGGGGTCGGCATTGTAATCTGCTAACCAGGTGAAATAGGCTGCACGTAATCTTTATGTGTTATAATGTTAATAAATAGATATTGCAATATTTGTAGCATACAAGTACTTGTACTAAGAAACTTATTTACCCTCCGTTATCAGCCAAATTCTCGCCAAGCGTCAATTTCCCGTTCAAGTTTACAGGCACATCTTTTGGATCGTCGATTGTATAATTTGTGTATTGCTTGACGAAACATTGGGTTTGGTTGTTGAATGCTTCTATTGTTTCATTTGACCACCACTAAATTAATTAAAAAAAGAACGATATTCTTTTAGAACATTCATGGAAGTTAATGATAATAAAAAAGGTGATTAATATATTTTTCACCTGGGTCAATCGACCTTTTTCATCATACTGTCGACCACTATTATCAAATGCATGCTAAATAGAAATTATAAATGTCAATAGAAATAAAGGTAAATATTCTGAACGAAAATAAAATACTAACCGTAAGTTCATGTCCGATAACCATACCTATCGCGCCGTAATTTACATACTCTGGATTTGTAGCAAAGAAAAATGGAGGTTGTAGGATTCCTAGAAGTAAAACAAACTTTGAAAATGAATATATTGCATTATTTTATTTATTTATTTATTATTAAAAAATTATCACCTGCAGGAAACACAATCTCGTTCGCAGTCGGATTCTAAAACGCATAAGTGCAACAATAAATAAAAAATAAAAAATCCCAAAAATCAACTCTCATAAAATAAACAGCTTACATAATATGCATTAACAGTCGGTGGGGTCATAAACCAATTTCCTTTTTCAACTGGTTTTCCAACTTTGGACCAGTCATGGTCCGTTTTCCACTTGTTTCCGCTAACGATATTTTCAAAGTACTCTGTCTTGCTAATTTCTAGTTCTTCGTAGTATTCGGCAAGAGATTTTGGATCCATCGTGTCTGGTGTGGAGTCCGGATACCCGACTTTTACTGCGATTTGATCGACCTAAATAATATTTGTTCATAGATTGTTAGGGATTCGCAATTACACATGGTCGAAAGTAGGCGCATTGTTGCAAGCTTGAAAATTATACCTTGTGTATAGCTTTTTCTCGAGTCACTTCATCCAACCAATCGAGACGAGGCATTCTTTCTATGAATGTTTTTTTTATCGATTCAATTATTCGACGAGAAAGATCTTTACTATCACCTATTGAAAAATAAAGACTAAATAAAATTAATTCAAAATTTCAAACCGAAAAAAACCAATTAATAATAAAAAACTAACCTTTAAAAGTTTTTAATACAAAGAATCTACCAGCCATATATCCCATCACATCATCCACAACCTTCAAACAGGTCTCCCATCGTTTCGGTTTAACCGTCTCATCTACACCCTTAATCGTAGCAGACAAGCGACGTAATGCTGTCTGAAATTCCTCATCTAAATGATCTGCATATTCGTAAATTGTCTGCCACAAAAAGTATATTTGTAGAGTGGCTGGAGGAGTTTCCTCTATCAATTGTGATAATTTCTCGAAGTATTCGTTTGAGGTTAGAATGATTTTGGTTGGGAAATCGGCGGCGGGAGGTAATAATCCTTCAAAAAGTCGAGGCCAATAAATAATTTTACATAATTGGTCTAACGAAGGAATCGTGTGTGGATTGTATACTGCCTCGGGATCAGAAAATTCTTCACTAAAGCCGATATATTATGAATATTTAAATAAAAATATCAAGTCAAAACATAATCGAGAAGAGCAAGAGACACACATACGCAGAAAGAGAAAATTTCGCCAATTTTTTTTCAAAGTCAACAATTTTATCAGCGACATGTTCCCATTGATCTCGTCGATATTCCTCCATTCCAGCATCAAACATCGATCCAAGAATGTCTGATTCAAAAACAGGTTTTGTTTCATTCTCTTCATGATCATTAATAACAATAGCTTTCTCTAGCAACTCTGCCACCACACTTCTATACACTCCCAAAATATTCTCTTCCTCATAATATTCTTTCGAAGGTAACCCAAGACCCGACTGTGACAAATACAACGCGTTGATATCCGGTTTTTTAGCATCCGCTTCAATAGAGAACTCGAACAACGCGGTAACTCCAATCTGCGACAAATAAGCAAGTGTACCAGTTAAATTTGTTATATAAGCAGGTGTTTTTGGCATTTTCGGTTCTGCTACATCATCATCATCATCATCATCATTCTTATTATCATAATGCATCAATTCCGATAAATCGATACGTTTTTTTAGTTTTCGTTCCAACAAGTAAATTAACGATTCCTCTGGCTCAACTGGGAACAACCTTGTAATTTCTTCCAGAATTGACGCCAATGGTTTGACGCCTACTTTTGAAATCTGTGTTAGGTTCATGCATGATTGGTAAAGTGATTTGAGCTTGTAAAAGTTTATTTTGTCTTGCATTTCGGAAGGGTTTGGAAGTTTTGGTTCTGTGCTGTCGTCGTTTGTTGGACTGTGCTCACTTTCTAGTATACTTTTTAGGATTTTCTAGAATAAACGAGTTTATAATATGGATTATGTTAATATTAAATATAAAAAATAACAAATTTCGAAATAATTAAAGTAAACTCACCTGATTGTCTTCAAGTAAGCTATCAAAATAACTGTATCGACCTTTATCATCAGCGATTACATTTTTATCGAGCCATCCACCACCTTTTATAAAATTTCCATTTTATGATGAAATTTAAGTGAACGAGACTCGCACCCAAATTAACATCAAATCGATAAAATTAATTTTCTAAGAATACTCACAAGAATACTGAAAAAAATCCTGACACGGATCAATTTTCGTATTCATGTCTGAAATTATCGCAGCAGATGCTAGCACGCAGTGCGGCTCCAGACAAGGTTCCTATCCAAATAAAAAATAAATTTATCAACCAATTTTAATTTAAATTTGAGAAAGAAAATTCAATATATTCCAAATATTTATACACACCTCTTTTTTCTCTACTGGAGGACACGGTGGTGGCGGTGGCGGCGGCGGCGGCGGTGGCTCAACCTGATGCTTATTAGACTTCCCACGAGCATACAATCCCGCAAAAATGCTCGTCAATATCAGAAATAAGACACAAATGAGCGCTAATATAATCTCTAAACGCGAAAACTTTCGCGCATAGTTTGGCTCAGGACGTCTACGTGGTCTTGGACCTCCCGAGCCACTTCCTGTTCTACCTCCTGGACCAAGGTGACCACTACCAACACCACCACCTGTAGGTCCTAAGCCACCGTTACCAAGGACGCCTCCATAATCGTTGTCTGGTTGATCGTTTGGGTTTAGTAGTGGGGCTCGTTCTTCCGGTGTTTGCATATTGTTGTCTCTTTGATATGATTTGTATTTTGTGTTTTTTGATTGATATTTTATTATAGTCTAAACGTTCACTTATTTCTATCGTTATTTATTGTTCAGTCAATGTTCTTCACAGAATGTTACCTTCTAGAGCATAATACGAAAAATTGCAAAGTACACCAAGTACAAAATAAAAACCACACGTCTTACTTCTTGAAAACTTAATATATTTCTGCGGGTATGATGTAACAATTAGTGAATTTCTCATTTTAGCCTGATGCATTTATCAGCATGTGACCTAATGCGCGTCTTTTCACTCAAGTCCCTCTTTGTAGATCTTATATTTCTACAAAGAGAAGGGTACTAGCCAAAAATTAAATATGGGAAAATGAAAGCAACATATAGAATCAATTATTATAAAAAAGTATTCTTAAATATTTGATAACTTTGATTAATATTTCTAAGAAAAAGACATATTGATATTATATAAAGTATTAAAACATGCTTAAAACGCAAATAAAAAAATAAAATATAATTAATATTATTATTATTTTTATGGGTTTCAAGTTTTTACACATTATTCACATGCTTTTATTAATTAAAAGATAAAAGAGACTAAGTTTTTATAGTGAAAAAGACTAAAAACTATAACTAAAGTTAAATAATGTGTGTTTGTATTGTAATAAACTAGAATGATATCCAATAACTTCACTTTAACTTTATAATCTCAATAAGTTTCAATATAATTTTAATAAGTTATAACATAAAGTTAGATGTCTTTCAAATGATTTCTTATAAATTAATAACAAAAAAAATCAATACAAAATATAACTTGAAATATCTTATAAATTATTTAACAAAAAATAATTCTAGTAAAAATAACATAATTATGTTATATTTACTCAAGTGACAATGCAAACATATCTTCTCATAACCTAGCAAGAAACACAATACTTGAATTGTTCCAGATTTTTTAGATGGTTGTCATATCAGATATATTACTCAGTACCAAAAATATTTATTAAGTTCTTTATTTTTATTAAAAATTATATTTTTTGCATGTTATAAAATTAGATTTATAATAACAGGATTAATCTCAATTGCTGATTGAGCTTTGAATCCTAGAAAAAGATTAAAGAACTTAGTATTTGATAATGGAATATTAGAAGAATATAATAAAAAATTAATATTACAATACAGAATCAGATCTTTAACTACTTAATTTATTAATATTTTTAATTCAATTAGTTCCTTTTGATATTTAGTTATTTTTATTTCATACTTAGCAATATCTAGTTTAGATATCATATTGAAAAAAAGATTATTATTTGAATTTTTTATTTTAAGTATTCATAATCTTGAAAATATTTAAATATATGCGATTGTTACTTGAATTATTTCATATACTTTATTACAAATAAAAATATTCTTAGAAATACATATATCAATTAAGTTTTTCCATGTAAAGTGATTGTTTGAATCTAAAATTCTAAACTGTTCTAATTTTTTTGGAAGGAGACTTTTTTTTTATTTTTAATTGTTTCATTAATAACAAGTTTTAATAATGATTTCTTTGTATCTGTTGACATATCTTGATTTACTCAATAACAGTAATAATGATAAGTTTTCTTATTTTAGATTACATATACGTTATCACTAATGTGATCTTGATTATAGAGTAAATATTAAGATTCTACTATATGATTTAGAGAAAATATATTTGAAAATGTAAATAAAAAATATAAAACTTCAAAATCTTCAATTTTATATTTCTCAAGTATTTTTTCTATATATTTTATTTCAGATCTAATAGTCCTGATATTGATTTTATTTTTTTCTGGTACTAATTTATTTTTGATTAATATTTTTTCTTTTAGAATATTCAGAATAGAACTATCAATAACTGATATCTTATCATGTGCAGGATGAAGCATAAAGTCAAATACAGTTGCATCTTTTGAAAATATTACTTTCTTTGAACAAATATATATATATAATTTTTTATCATTTTCATTATATTTTATTTTAATTATCTTTAAGATATTAAGCATTTGTAAGAAAAATGAGTTTTTATTGATGATATTATTAACAATTTCTTTGCTTTGTAGCTTTACTGAAAATTATTACAAATGAGTTTAGTAAATACTATAATTTTGATAATATTTTTAAGTCTTAAACTGAAAGTAGAAATATGAAGTGACATTTTTTTCTTATCATTACTATTAGTAATAGTTAAAGTATAATGATTCCATTTTGAATATATTTCTAAATACATTTTTTTAAAGATATGACAAAGTAAATTATGTATTTCTTTAAATATAAGCTTAAATTTAATTTTTCTCAGAATAAATCAAAATTAATAAAAGAATAAAGTGAATTATCACCATCAATAAATTTTTGTAATGAATGATCATTATGTTTAGTGAGTATATTTTCTATTTCATCTTCAATATCTATATTGTTGTATAATAACCTTTCATCATAATATTTTATTATTGGATTATACATATCTCATATCTTATTGGATAAAGATCAAATTACATGAAGCAAGCGAACAAGCAAGTGAACAAGTGAACAAGCGAATAAACAAATAACTAAATGAATGAGCGAACGAATAAGCGAATGAATATTTAACCAATAGAATTTAAGTGATATAGTGAACATGAATTCGTATAACCTAGAAATTATATCTTGGATTTGTATAAAAACAACATGTATCATAGTTGTTAGAATTAAATATAAACAAGTCCTTTTAGATAGTAATTCCCAATTATCACATTTAATTAGTTATCACATAGTTTTGATTGTTCAAAAAAAAGTAGTTTGCACTTTATGTA